CACATGCGGTAGCAAAGCTTCTAAGGAAAATCAGAACTCACCAATCCTCTTAGTTTTTCCTGAGAAATTTTTCACAATTTAGGAGTCAGTCAGGGGGAAGCTGGAGCTGAGGAGCTGTCTTTTCATTGTTTGTGAAGCACCAACATTACCCTGCTTGCTTGAGTTCATATACAACATAATACTGGAAACATGTCCCCCTACTACTAAGCTTCTCTGAAAAACAATCTTTGGTGGGTTCCATGGCTTCTACCATCCACACTATGATCCCATATTGTTGGAGGCCGAAGCTGTTTCTTCCTTTAGCATCACCATGAAAACTGCTGTACATGAAGTGTGGTCTTCACCGTTGGTTGTTTCTTTGGAAAGATCCCCAAGGGATTGCCGTGGCAAAGGTCATGAGCCTTTTAAAGGCTCACCAAATTGCTCTCCAGAAAGACTTTCACGGGCTGCATGAGGTTATGTACCTTTCAGACACACAAAAACGTGTTCACTGCTTAGAATGTAGGCAGAGAGATCTGAGGAATAATAGATTCTTTTCTGAAAAGCAGCGATACTACTGATACTACTCAGTATCAGAAGTCTCTTTTATCTGAATGGATCAAGGCCTTCTTTTTTTAGAAAGCTTTTCTTGTACTCAGACATACAGAAAGATTTACAAGTGTATGGCCAAAGGGAACGCAGTTAGGCATTTTCCAAGCCAGGAGCCCCGCCACGAGGAAGAAGGGACTCAGCTCCGTCTTTGTTGAGGTTGCCCTGTACCTGTCCCCTTTCTCAGTAACTAATGCTGATGTGAAAAAGTCCCACCTGCCCTTGAATGTGGACTCTGCTGGTAGATAATCCAGTAACTAGCTTTTCTAATCATGACACTCACTCTTGTATGCAGAGACTTCCCCATAAACAATCACCAACAGAAGGGCCACAGGTGATGACATTCTGACCAACAGCTCCCGAGTGCAACTGGAGTTTAGTCTTTGAGGCATTTTTGGATTGAGTCACCGGACTCCACCCACATCAGTGAGAGCCCGCGGTCAGGTTCCAGATGGTAGCCAGTAACTGTGTTACTTGCCTGGCAGCCTCATTTCAGAGTTGTGCCTGCCAAGGAACCTGGGCAGCTATTTCTAATTAACCAGCGCTTGGTTGGAAGTTTAACCCATGATTTTGGAAATAGCAGTCATTGTGGCCTGCATTCACTGAGCACTTGCCAGGTTCCAGGCACTGTGCTCCACACGCCTTCTCACAATCTCATGAACCACAGGAGGCAGGTACTATTTATTAGCCTCATTTTACTGGTGAGAAGACTGAGGCTCAGAGACATTAAGTAACTTGCCCAATATCTCACGGTGAGGAGGCAGTGGAGTTTAGTAGCTTCATTCAGCAGGACCAGCTACAGAATGTGTGGGGCCCGGGGCACAATGAAAATGTGGTCTCCTTGCTAAGAAATGAGTACGAATGTCAAAACGGCAACAGCAGAGCACTAACCACAGCACGGGGCCCTTCGAAATGGGGTTCTGTTTGCACAGGTTGCACACCCACCAAGCCAGCCCTGTGTACAAAGACATTCTGGTTTTAGAATGCACACTTGTCACCACACAGCAGGGCTGCATAGCACGTGGGTTGGCACAGGTGTGACTTTGGCACGTAAATAGCACATAGGAGCATCATCTGTGTGCTCCTCGGGCACACGTCCTCCCTAAACATCGGCCTCTCTTCGTGGGACTGTTTCCTAGCTGGGGGTCAATGGGGCTAAGCCCCACCTTGGTCCTTCTCAGACGTTGCAAACGGTCCTCAGTGGGCTCATCTCCTTTGAAAGTCACCAGAAGCCAGTTGATGGAGTAGCTCCTTGGACGTCTTTTGTTTTACTTAAATCCAGTTCCAATCTTCTGGGCTAGGTCTGCCTCATTGATTGCTTCTCTGGTAGCTGTGTATCCCCTCTCATTTCCCAGCTTTCACAGCCCCCTGCTGCACCAAGAGATGCCCGCACCCCAAGTCCAGCCATGGGCCCGCCCAGGTCAGTGAGCCAGCCACTGGAGGTACATTCTGTCCCGTGTCCTGGCACTGTGGGAGAACAGCAGAGTTTCCGGAGGGAAAGTAGGAGCCAGCCATCTGTTTTCTTCTGGGGCTTCATTTTCCTGGAGACATATGGCTCAGAAGTGATTTCTTCCTACTGGAAACCACAAGACGATAATCGCTAATACTTACTGAGCGCCTCCTGTGCGTCGGCCTTCACATACACGTATTTAATCTTCACAGGTAACTCATCTCACCTTTAGTAGCTATAAGGTGAGTGCTATCAAAGAGCCTCACTTCTCAAATGTGGAGCAGGAGGCAGAAAGGTTAGGTAGGTTGCCAACATCTGAGAGTTAGTAAGCGGAAGAACCAGACAAGAACCCACATTATGTCTAGTTCTAGAGCCTACATACAACTCTCAAACCTCACTTCAAAGTTCTCCCAAGCATTCTGGAAGGCTGGGCAGGACAGTCTAACAGGCCGGGTAGGACTAGAGCCAAGAATCCAGGAACGTGGGCCTCCTATTGCCTCAAAGTTCCAAAATGGAAGTTCTAGGATTTTCCTAGAGGCACAGTGTTGACAGTCCAACTGCAGCAGTCACTCCAAATAGTTCATTGGAGGCAGGGGACAAAAAAGCGCATGCGCACACCCATGCACAAAGTACAGCGTCACTCAGGAATGGCGATTACTTTGTGTCTGATATGACACGATGCCCTTATATATGCTTAGAGATGTAAATATCACTTCACTAGTGCCCTAACCTAAGAACTTTGCTTTAATTTTACTTTAGTGTTCCTCTCTGTGAAACACTGAGTAAATAAGGAGCCAGTGATGATAATACTACTTTGCATTGGTATGGTACTTGACACTTCATTGATTTTTTTCCCCATGTTGTCCTTGAACCCCTCCAACACCAGGGTTTGCAGTGGCTGAGTCTAAGGACAACTGGGTAGAGGGATATGAATTGAATCTGGAGCCTCTGTCTTCTTACTTCTCTCTCATGCTCCCGATGACCCTGGATGGCCCCTGACTCAGGGGTGGGGGCAGGTCCTCTCTGAGAGGAGGAGGAAGTGTACACAGCATTGGTCACTGCTGTGAAGATGCCTAGTCAGCAGGTTCAAAGCCTAGGTTCGTTTGCCGGAGTCTGCAGTATATTTTTTTCTGAGTTATCAGACTAAAAGAAAACCTAGATCCCTTGATAGTAGTCAGGCAATTATGAGACAGCCAAGCAAGAGTATGAATGTTTCCAGAAGTTACTAGAATGTTTCCGAGAGGGAACCTTAAACCTGCATAATGTGAAACTGTATAGGCACATTTGTTCCCTCTCCAAGAGGGCTATGTTGTAAATCGGATTATTCTAGAGGGGGCTGCTGAGAAAAAGGATTGTGTCCAAGTTCCTGAAAGCACCTGAAAAAAGTTCCAAGGGTTGGTTGTTGTTTTTGTGGGGTTTTTTACCATTAAGTCAAAACAGTGGTGAGTCAAAGAAATGCAAGATTTAGGAGGCTTGACTGAACACTCCTTGATGAAACAGCAACTGTGATTTAGATACTTTGTGATAAGAGGTTTGAATGATTCCGAGTGGAAAGTTGCAAAGGCAAATAGCAAGGTGACTCATTGCTCAAGGGCAGAAAGCACCAGTGAGCTCGCCACATGCATAGAGGAGGATTGGTGGACCAATCATCAACGTTGTTCTTTACGGTGCTGCACCCCCAACATGCTGATAACCATGAACCCAATAACTCACCCACTGATGGCTTTAGAAACGGACCTCACATGAGTCACCCTGATATCGGAGGATAGTCAGGTGACTACCTAGATACTCATTGACATGAAAACGAATAACAAATGACTTAGACTCATTTCTATACAAACTGTGCTAGTGCCATAAGCCATTTTCTTCCAACACCACTGTCTTTAGTCCCATCCATATAGAGTAAGGCCACTATTCACTATACCTCAGTTACTTACTAATATGTACTTGCTGCAGTCTTAAGGTATTGGTGTTTCCAAAGCATTGTTTGACAAACATACTGGTAGACCTGGCTATGGAGGGCTTCTTTTATCTGTAAACATCCATTCCACCAACAAACATTTATTTAGCACTTGATATCCCTTGATGCAAGAAGTGGGTGGGAGGCCCTAACTGGAAGTGGATAGAACATCGGCCAGCAGACTGAAAGGTCCCAGGTTCGATTCCAGTCAAGGGCATGTACCTTGGTTGCGGGCACATCCCCAGTAGGAGGTGTGCAGGAGGCAGCTGATCCATGTTTCTCTCTCATCGATATTTCTTACTCTCTATCCCTCTCCCTTCCTCTCTGTAAAAAACCAATAAAATATATTTTAAAAAAAAAAGAAGTGGGTGAGAGGATAGGCCGGACTCAGAGATGATGCAGGGTTCCCAGTAGAGAGAAAAAGAGCCACTGTCCTTCCCCCGCTCTTGACTGTTTTCAGGCTTCCCCAGGTAGGGCTGTGTGGTCCATGGGTTCTTTCTGAATGTGTGCTAGACCACATAGCCTCCTTAGTGCGGAGCACCCATGACCCTGGGAAGGCAAATGTTGAAGGCAGCCACAGTCTGGAGGGGCTCATTTCCAATCTAAAAACAACAATGGCGAACCCTTCTTAGGTGTGCAGGTGTCCCTAGACCAGACAGGTCCAGGGTGTTCAGTGTTTCTGAAATGGATACTACCACTTTCCATTTGAAATGCAATTTTGGGTGACCACACATTTCCTAAAAAGTAACCTAACTAAACACATTAGATCCAGGAAACCTGGATCTCCTTAAAACTATTGGCAAGAAGGAAGGAAAGGAGGCAATGGGAACAGTGTTCTGAAGTTTACGGGCCTTTAAAATGAAGTACTCCTTCCTAAAGTTCATCAAATTGGGGGTGGGGATGCAGGAAGGTTTGGAAGGGTCTGTGGAGTCTTTGGTTCTGTACTCTAATTTCTCTGCTACCTCACCACTCTCCCTCTCTCTTTTTAATATTTCTCACCAGGGTATGGGAATATTGCTCCGAGCACTGAAGGAGGCAAAATCTTTTGTATTTTATATGCCATCTTTGGAATTCCACTCTTTGGTTTCTTATTGGCTGGAATTGGAGACCAACTTGGAACCATCTTTGGGAAAAGCATTGCAAGAGTGGAGAAGGTCTTTCGAGTGAGTACTGCCTCTATGTCAACCCTGACCTCTGAGATCCAATGGGCTTTAGCCTTTTGGGATCCAGGAGGGATCATCAGGGTCTTGTCATATCATTACCACTTTTAAGGGAATAGTCTGATGTCATGATCATATTTCCTGTGTGGCTGATGGTCGTCACAGGCACTATGCCAAAGCTCTTCTGTTCGGTAGTTAGTTTCTGTAGAGTGGTATCTCTGGAATCACAACACAGAGGGTTAAGTATGGATTTGCCAGCACAGCTTTTGTGAAGACATGAAGCACACTCCGTTTCTTCTTAAAGATGGAAGATGAGTCCTTATGTATTTGCAATAAAGTAGAGAACTGTAAATTCATCCATTTGGTTTTGGAACTTCCATTTTATTTGCAAGCTCGGTGTCTTCAGGATGATCCTGGCTTCTGGGATCTCTTCCAGAGCCGTCTTTTCTAGGCACTGCTTCGTGCTTTGTATCTGTCTCCCCATGACCCCTCCCTCTTTCTCCTTCCACTGCTGTGTTCCCTCAGCAATAGGACACTGATGTGCTAATTCATACTAAGGTGCTGATGACTGCTATTGTATTAGTAGAGTTTTTTCCTCCTAAGAATACTTACCTTTAAACAAGGAACAAAAGTCTCAACTCAAGCAAAAGTTATTTACTAAATATAGCATTCCTGGCATCAATGACAGTCATGTGACATAGATATGATTGGACTGGGGTTCTAACTCACACCTATCCATATGATTTCACAGAACACCTGCTTTGCTTTGGTGTAGGGTCATTTCTGCTCTTTTTCTCATTATTGACCTAATGTTCAGGTGTTCCAAACCTTCTTTAGGGAATTTTTCTCATGACTTAATATTTTAAGATGACACTTTGAGATCTTTTTCAGAATCTAGCAATGATGGGAAAGATATATCAGTGGTTAGCTCTAAATCTGAACTTGTTTTTCCCTCTGAGACAAACAATCATGACCAGCTTTTCTTTAGAAGACTACAGGGAGTTCCCTATGTTAGTTTTGTTAGAAGAGTTTCAGTTTGTCAGAGTGGATGAATAAGGCTTAGAGCCACCTTTATAAGCTCAGTGATCCCGAGTGAGAGTGAGCTGCCTCGCTTTACTCCTTAGCAAAAGGGGACGGAATTCTAATCTGCTTTATAATGTTTGGTAATGATTAAATGAAATAATGTATGGAAAAGAGCCTGGCATGGGGCCAGACACGTAGACTTCAGAGAGCTGTGTGTCTGTCTCCTGAATGAAGTGTTTGTTGGCAGGGTAGCCGCCCATTCACATGTCATCCGAGCAGCTCAGCGGCATGTGGGTTTTTCCTGGAATGCCCCACAACCTTTGCTCCCTAAGTGCTGGCTAGTCAGCCAGCCTCTTTAGAGCATGCACCCAGCTCAGTGGTCACCATGGAAACCGCCAGAGCTCAAGTTTCTCTGTTTCTCAGAGGTTCAGGTCGACCTGAACCAGACAGGGCAACCCTGCCTCCAGGAACAGTTCTCAGAGGAGCCCTCCTAGACCTCACAGCTAGAGAACAGTAAATCTCGTGGAGCAAACACTCAGAAGAACAGGATTCAAAATCCGGCATTTTTATATTTAAGTAATTTCTCTAGATCATGGTGTCTTTATTTGTAGAAAAAACTGATTAGACTACAAGCTTTTGAAATTCTTTTTTATAAAAAAAAAAATGAAGGACTGTACTCTAATCAAGAGGTTGCACTCATTTGATGACACCTGCTACCAAATTTGGGGACTTCTTTTCCCCTAATGTATTTTGAACTTCAAGGAGAGGACTGCTCTCCTTCCCCTGAAAGCTGCCTCTCAATGCTTAGTTCAACGGGCACTGGGACAGCCTCAAAAATATCACATTTCGTTTTTTTTTGTTTGTTTGTTTGTTTTTTAAATATATTTTATGATTTTTTACAGAGAAGAAGGGAGAGGGATAGAGAGTTAGAAACATCAATAAGAGAGAAACATCAATCAGCTGCCTCCTGCACACTCCCTACTGGTGATGTGCCCGCAACGAAGGTACATGCCCTTGACCAGAATTGAACCTGGGACCCTTCAGTCCTCAGGCCAACGCTCTATCCACTGAGCCAAACCGGTTAGGGGTCACATTTCGTTTTTATGCTGATGCCCACTCAGTTCCAGAAAACTGAGGGTGGTGTATTATGGAATTAGCAGCATACAAGGTAGGCATTTGCAGCCCAGTGGAGGGCGCTGTTGTCAGGGATGATGAGATCCAGGAGCCACAGAAGCGCACTTCCTGGAGATGCAAACAGCAATTTGGCTTGCTGCATGTGGCCTTCCTAGAAAATCTCCCAGCTCCTTGCCATTCATTTAAACTACATCTAAAAGGCCAGTTACTCTTAGGTGATTATCTGAGAACTGAAAACAACAGAACTTGGGGTTGGGATTTCTGGTTCCCATGGAGAAGGTTCATTGTTTTTGTTTTCTCGCCTGCTCAGTGACTGTTAAGCCTTTCCCGTCATCTGTTGTGGTTTTTTGGGGATAGAGAGGATTTTTTTGTGGAGTAAAGATAAAATATAAAGTCAGTCTTCCAGCTGTCTATATTCGGAAGTGACAGGATTTGGGTCCTTCTACCACATCTGAGCCTCATTTTAAAGAGTTGCTGAGGGTGTCTGTATTATGTAGGAATGCTTCTGGCTACAGAGCAACAAAGTGCTTGGGGTTAGCATGGAGTGAATAAAAGAAAACACCTTTTTGTCCTCTGAAGCTCAGAACTAATTGAGAAATAAACATAGAAATAAACATATGGAGATTAAAATGTCCACTTTATTGCTGATAAGCTCATCAGAGGATGTAGCTTTAGCTTTGATGACAAAGGGACTTTTCACTATCTCACCCTGCTGCATTGTATTTCTATTGCTGTACAACAAATGATCAGCAATGCAGATGCTTAAAAAAGCAACACCCATTTGATTTGTTATGTCATGGTTCTGGGGCTGACCACATCCCTGTGATGAGCTAAATTTGAATTCTGTCGGCGAAGAAGTTTGGGGGGAAACAAATGACAGCCGCTAGCCACACCGGCCACTTACTGGGAAGCTGTTCTCCCTCCATTTGTCGTAAATCAGGTGACCTTTGGGGTCCTTGAATCACTTAGGAGAGACTGGATTATGCTATGGTAACAAATAACCCTCTGCCAGGGTCTGCTGCAGCCCAGGCAGCTCTCCAGGCTTTAATGGGTTTGTGTGTGGGGCGGGGGCGGGAGGATGGGGGGAGCAGCTAGGCATTGCACACTGGCTCTTAAGGGCTTTGGCCTCCAGTCGCAGCCCTTTGGCCTGAACTAGTCACATGGACCCACCCAACCGCAAAGGGGGCCTGAAATGTTTTGTTTGATCTCCAGGAAGGGACGGAGGTGGGAAACTGGTGAGCACTAGTAATCTCCTGTGCCCATTCCCTGGGACTATTCCTGGGCTCACTGTCGGGCGACAGGCATCCCTAGCATTTAGAACAGAAGGCCTGTCGATGGCTCTTTGGGGAACACGACTCCAGTGAGACTCATCTCACACCTGAGGATTGGAACCTGCGGTTTGTTCAGTGACTTGCCTGAAGCGACTCAGTGAGTTGGTGGCACAGCCTGGACCTGGACAAGTAATCCTGCCTCCTCGTCCAGGTGGGCCACTAATCTTTACTGTCAGAGGTAGGAGCCACGCCATGGATCCAATGTGGAGTTTAGGTGTTGTGAATATACTGTTCGAATTCGTGGAGATGATTTTTAAGTATTTACGTAATACACAGTAAAAGTCCTTCCTCCTAGGTTTCCAAGTGCAATCTGGGCGGTTGGCGGTGAAGGATGATGATTTGGGATGACGCAGGGTTGATCTTGGGTCCCAAAGCAGATTTGGGGAGCGGGCAGCCTCTGTGTCCCCTGCTGTGGGCTGCCTCCTTTGCGGGGCCAGGCCAACTGTCACTTGAGAGGATGCTGCAGGAAAACTGGTTTGATTTTGGACTGGATCCCGTTGTCTTGCTCTGAGCTGGACTTCGGCTTCTGGTGGGAAGCAGCTGCCCCTTTTTCTCTGGCGGGTCAGCGGGCTTTCTGATCGTACCCCTGTAACGAAGGGACACTCTTTTCCTTTTCCTTCCTTGGCCTTTTCCCCCAAGGACATCGCAGAAATGTTCATTTGCCTCTGGAGCCGAAGGAGCCTGGGTGTAGCTGACACATAATCACACATTATGCTAGGTTTATTGGTGCCACGATTCCCTGGGGACTTTGGAGCCTGCCAAGTGCTTAAGACCCGGTGACTACGATCTCAATCTGCTAATGATGCTCAATTAGTGGGCTCGTCCATCACTTTGGATTGCAGGAAGGGGCTGGCGGTGGAAGCCAAGGACTCCTGGAGGCCTCTGCCATGGGCCTGGCGTGAGTGGAGGAGAGATTTGAAGGACACATTTGCAGGAGGCTTCTGTTTCTCACAAGGAGTCTTGAGCTAGCTCCCAGCAGCAGTGGGGTTCACTTTAAAAGATTACTATTTCAGAAGATCAAAACTCCTGATTTGGAAACGGGGTGTTCTTTTCAGCTCTGTGGGTACAATGTTCCAGTCCTAATAGGAGTGGAAGTGTTCATTGAGGAATGAGTTATGCACATGAGGGTTGTGCCTAAACAAGTGTGGGGGGAAGCCAGGTGGTGGGCCGCGAGTGCCCCAGAAAGGGGGTGGAACTTCTGGGGAGTCGCTCGTAAACCTCTGCACGTCGGGAATTTTGCAGGGAGACTCGGATTTGTCATTTGTCCAAGAGGATTGGACTGAGGTCAGACTGAATACTATGGCACCTCGGTCTCAAAGTCTAGAGATAAGATGCAAATCTGCTTCAGGGTTTTAGTCTATGCCAGGCGTTGGTTGTGGGCTTTGCCGAGAGGAAGCTGTGCAACAACCCTCTCAGAAAGGCCATGTCCCCCTCTTCATTGTATGAGACCAGAAGGTGCACATAGGTTTGGTGGCCTGTCCAAGGTCACCCAGGCCATAAGGGACAGAGCGAGGA